CCAAGGGAAAGTGCTCTGAGCATGCATTATGAGCACGATGGAGATGAGTTGTCAGCTCTTGGCATAAAAATATGATGAGGCTTTTCCACAAGTCAGCCGACCTGCATAAGCTGGTAAAGGGGTCATTGCGCTGCGACAATTGAGGAGACAAGTGAGCTTGCCGCCAGTAAACGCCAAGTATTTCCTGTGTTTGGAGGCTTGTCGAGTCTACGGGGTTCTCAGACGCAGAATTGCTGGGCAGATCGCTGCTGCTATACGGGCATCCTGAAACTTGAAGCTTCCATTCCAAGCCCCCAGGTTGAAAAAGGAGACCCTCTTGGTCAGCTTTTACGACGCTGAAACTCAAGTGTTGAAAATTCCTTTGCCACATGCTTCTAGAGCACGCTGGAAATGAGATAGTTCGACGTCGTCGAATGCCGGATAGTCGAGTCAAACAGCACTACTATCAACCTTAGCAAAATGCAGCTGAGAAGGCCCATTCAACTCATCACTGACGATGAGCCCTCCAAAGGGCCAGATGGCCTCGGCGGAATGGAAATGAATCTGTCCCAGTTATGTCGTCTATCCCCTGAAGGTACATACCAGAAGACTGCTGATTTACACGACTGCCATGGATCCCGGGGACAAGCCACCTTGCATGTCTTTTGTTGATTTTCATTGCCGATCCTACCTCCGAAGTCTCGAGTATTGACCAATCAAGAAAGCAGGAGCCCTCAGCGTTGGCCGTCACATCAGTTGTGCCCGGCTTTCCCAATACCAGTTTGGGCTCTTCTCCCAGCCAAAATCCTACGCCCACTACAAGGCAAGGAGGACATCGATTACCGTGCTGACCAGTCAGGATAGCAGGAAAAAAATCTGGTGCTTGTAAGATGCCAAGTCTTCTTAGCGGTATAATACATGAAGACAACGTATTTCTGATGGCAGCACAATCGTTAGACAAGACGAAATCAATTTCTGACAAGACTACCTTCCGAGAACAAGAATCGTGGTCGGTTGTCATGGGTAACGCAAGTTTGTTTCTTCAAAAACCTCTCCATACATGCGATTTTAAAGAGGTCTGGTTTGCATTGCGACACTCTGGACACTACAGCTGCATAATACGCTGCTGAATTGGAGCAATTTCTAGTACAATTGTCAAAACGAGTGTCAGGAATTCGTAAAATAGCATCGATGGCAACTGATATATGTGAACAAGTTCTCTACATAGCCTGTCGTGATCCTAACAAATTTGTGCCGAGCCTCCTATCCCGTCGTGGCAAACATCATCAGGGCATGAAAACATGCTTCATGAAATCTTCGTATCGATTAGGCTTCGAAGCTCATATTAGCTCTTGAATAGGTGTATCCTCCCTAGATCACATAAGATTATAAAATATTAGTAGCTAACTCTTCTCACAATAACATGAGTAGGCCCTAAGGTGTCAATGGATTTCACTTAGCCTTGCCTTATTTTAATTAAGAAAACTTATTGCTGGCAGACTTTTCATTTCGTTTGAAAAGGCGGG